CAAACTGGGATCATTAGACTCTGAGAGGGTCTTCTGACAATTTCAGTCTTTTTATATTATATAACCTAACTGCGCATCGTCAAATAGATATTAAAGACACCGGTCTATACAGAGATGATGGCCTTATGGTAGTCAGGAGATCTATAAACATTAAAATAGATAAAATTAGAAAAATAAAACATAGAGAATTCGAAAACATAAATTTAAAACTTACGGTTTTTAAAAAATTTAAGTGGGTAAATTTCCTCGACATAACATAATGAATAACATATACCTAACTTACAAAAAAACAAACAAAAAAAAAAACAATACTAATCGTTTGTATGTACACCCCAGGTCAAATCATCCTGCCTCTATAATTAAGCACGTAACTTCATCAAGTGAGAAAAGAATTAGTAGAAATTCCGCAAATGAAGAAATATTCAACAAACATATTAATTTTTACAACCAAACTTTAAAAAATAGTGGCTACAAACACCCTAACATCAATTATATAAAAATTAACAGTACAAATCAAAAGAAAAATGGAAAAAGAAAAATCATTTGGTACACCCCCGTCCAACAAAATGGTTAGTAATAAGCTAAGACAAAAATTCTAAGCTTTAATCGAAAAATATTTTCCTAATAGTAGTAAATTTAGCAAGATTTTTAATTGAACCACCTTAAAATTATGTTACAGCTGCACTGAAAATTTAAAAAGGATTATAAAAAAAACATAAGAATAAAATATTGAAAATATATGCATGTCAAAATCAGATATATAAAGATCCTAAAATGAAATTAGACAATAATAATGAAAAATTATGTAATTGTAGAAACCCTGACAATTGTCCATTGAATAAAAAATACCATAAATTCCGTAGTATACCAATGCACACTCTCATCCATTGAGAATCCAAATATGGAAAAATAAGTAATCGGTTTACCTTTTTCCAGAGATTTACTTGACCCCCACCTCTACTGAGACAGATTGTGACACACGGTTGATTTTAAACGTGGGGACTCGGGTGTTTCCACACGGGCCGCTGGTCTAAGCTGATCTTAGCTTGTGCAAGCTGATCAAAGCTTGTATAAGCTGGTCAGAGTTTGTCTAAGCTATTCATAGCCGGTCATTCTACCGCTACGTAACAGATGTCACACAACGGTGGTGGTGGGGGGGAGCAAAGGAGGAGAGAAAGCCTCTGGCACGGAACAGGTACTACATCTGCAGCATCCATCCCAACGGGGAAAAAACAACTTCTACTCCTCTTGTCAATCCCTCGAGAAAAATCCAGGAGGAAAGCCCCAGGTGTGGAGAGAGGCCCCTTGAGCGGTTAACTCTCTCGGTTCACATTGTTCTCTATTAATATCTGAGATGAGGGTTTATCATTGTTTGGATTATTCTCATGGAGCTTATTTTTCACCTCTTCGTGCTTATTTTCACAAAACTTTGGTCGTTGTGCCCACCGATCATCACCATGATCTTGCCAGTTTGGTAACCTTCAGGATATTAGGAACTGAATAATTTATTTAATCAATAGAAATAGATTGTTCTCGTTCTCTTCATGATTTTCATTTTTCGTCTAGTCCTTATTTTGTACTCTTCATTTATTAGAAATGGGAATAGCAATAACTGGACCAATTTCATTCTAAAAAAAGGGGGATTTCTAATCACCCTCTTTAATATAATGTTTATATTAATAAGAAAAATATTTATGTAGAACTGCTTTTTAGTTCTAAGGAGTTATTTTATCGTCATTGTAACCATGTTTGGGGACTGCCTACCCAATCAGGACGCATCCTACATGTATTTATTGTATATTTTGCCATGAAATTAGTAATTGAACATAGTTACCTAATATTCATAGATATAATACGTCTACGCCTAACAAAACTCATTGACCAGTAAATTATCGGAGTCTAACGCGTTTAAACGCGAAAAGATTTTTGTAAAGTAAAAGAAATCAATAAAACGATTTATTCTAACTTGACTTCCGGTGTATCTGGAAAATATGACGTTGCAAGATAAGACGTTTGTGCTTTTATTTCTCTATTAAACATTTGAAATATTATTTAAATAATTCCCATGAGAACTTAGGCATGGATTCCTGTTTTACAGCAGCTCGATCGATGTAGGTTTTGGTATTCTGTTATTATTCTCATTATTTATATATAGAAATTCGTGTACAACTCAATAACAACCTTAATTCGCCTTAACTAATAATTCGAAAACGTGATTTTGAATTAAAGATTATTCATGGAGAGCTCGACAAGAAATTCTAAAGATTTTAACTGAAGTTTAGGTGAGCATTACGCAAAATCTCTTTTTCAGGTACATTGCACGAATTATTTACATTATTTACATTGTTCTGACTTTTGTCCTCATCTTTGTTGCCGTATTCATGACGTTTCGGCCGTTAGCCTCTCCGGCATAATTTAGTTGATTAGAATTTCGAACTGAACCATTTTTTGCGTCCACCGGGTCAGATTGTTGTAGTACAACGTGCCATACCTCTTCAGGATGTCTCAGTTATCTCTACTTTAAATCAATTCTCCAAATTTTTGTTCAGCACTGCAGTAGTCAGGTATTGAACTCACAAATCTTTGGGACAAATCACTAGATCCAACATGGCAATAAAATAAGGACATCTCTGATAAAATTTGAAGCACAAAATTTGAAAATTCAGCGTTTCTTATCGAGAGCAATACAAATTATAACCAAAGCCCACGTTTGTATCTACTCGTGTCACTCATACACGTTTACAATGCTATCAATAAAAATATTAATTTAATCAGATGAAGTCCTTCTAAAGGACGAAATGCGTTATGTAGAATTTTTCCAATTTTTCATTCATTTGCTCACTATATTTCAATATGTGTAAATACATACATACATACATATATATATATACATACATATATATATATATATATATATATATATATATATATATATATTATATATATATTCAAAGGGCACCTCAGAAATTCAGAAATACCATACGATGAACTTGACAGAAGAGTGAAAAAAATTGAAGATTCCTTAGAGTTACTGAAAAAATAATGGAATAAATTATCTAAATGAAAATTCATGTCACACTTATTTTTAAACATGTATAATAATTCTCTATTTTTTAACCAACAAAGCAACTAAATTTGGAGTTAATTTAAAAATTAGCAGAGGTTGTCCCAAAAATGTGAACTCTAGCGTATATATTACCGTCTCTATACGCCAATGAGTTCATTTGAGTGTTTATATATATATATATATATATATATATATATATATATATATATATATATATATATATATATATATATATATGTCTCTTTATATATTAATGAACCTTATAGGATTACATTCACATATGACTGGGTGTCATTAAACTGGGATTTATTTCCTTGGCTTCACAGAAGTACAATTACATCTATCCACAAGTACAATTACAGATTGCCATAATATCCACCCCAAATTCTTCTCACCATCTTGAGAGCCTAAGTTATCACCAGCTCCTTAATCAGGAAGTTATTACTATTCTTCATCTTTTAACTCTGAATTGCCATCTTCATGCTCAGTAGACCTTGAATAGTGACGCTAACCACATTGGAGTTATCAGGAGTTAATCCCTGCCCGCTTTTGTTAATTCCAGCCTGAAGGTGTGGTATTTTGTGCGAGGAAGCTAATTCTAGTTTTCTTCCAGATGGGAGACTTTCACTCCTACCAGCAATTACTTTGATCGTTCCATTCAAAGTCCCGTTTATAAATCTCCATCGTCAACTCTCTTAGTTTAGGAGTTAATTTCACTCTAACTCTGTTGATATTAAGTGCAGGATCTGGTTGCACATTACCGCATCTAATATTAACCGCTACATACCTTCATATACAGATGAGGCAGTATCGAAAAGTTCCCGGATTGTAATCAGTGCGATTGTACCATTTAACGAAAATGCGCGCTCACCAAATGCACGCAGCTAACCCTAACCTGCTGAGTCAGTCTACCAATATACTGCCTGCTTTGTGTTCACTAATTCCGTGACTCTTTTTATCGATTCTATGGTCTTTAAGATAAGTGACTAATTTGTGCAATGTCTGTTTACATTTCTGAGATGAGCACAAGTTCTATGTATTCGACTTTTCATAAAATTTGTCAGTTCTGCACAAGCTTTTATCACTAAAATAAGATCATATATACGTGTAGTCTGGCTGTTCTGTTCTATTCTACCATTATACGTCGAAGACAACAGGATAGTCTAGTATACACACACACACATATTTATATATATATATATATATATATATGTGTGTGTGTGTGTGTGTGTGTGTGTGTACATGTGTGTACGTGTGTGTGTACGTGTGTGTACGTGTGTGTCTTTGTGTGTGTGTCTGTATGTGTGCGTTTGGCTCTCTCTGTGTGAGTGTGTAGAAAGAGAGAAAGGGTCGGGAGAGAGATATTTTGTTTCATACAGTTGAATGATATCATGAATTATATTTTAAGTCTTTCATTATTAGTTTTGCTTTATCCATATTAACGTAGATTTTACAAGACAGGAATTGTAATTGCGTCAGATGTAAGGGGAGGTTAATTTAAGATATTTTTAAAAAACGTTCAGACTCATTGTCGAAATAACATTCTTCATAGTTACACGAAAATTCAGATAGGCTTGCACAATCACAGACGCATACAACCACACATGCACAGACGTATCAAAACAAACGTGCAGACAGTCGTCGCACAAGGATCGATACATAAACAACAAAAAAAAAATAAATAGATAAATAAAAATCATTTTCTCTATCGAATGATTCACGACACCCGACCCTTCGTTCATTTGAGAGAAATCACTGATTGAAACTCTCTTTGCTCGGCTACCTTTTATATTATGCAAACTTAATAATGTAAGTAATAAACGGTTCAAGTTTTTGATTTTTTCATTATATTTGAAGCTTGCTTCTATTTTTTCTGCTCGAATCAGATTAGTGTTTGATTAGAAAGCGAATAGATTCAATCATTAAAATCAACATGGCTAATATCTTTTTCTTTTCTTCTCAGTATTACTGGCATTTGTTAAAATGCTCATTAGTTAAATTAATATGATTAGTATTAAGTAGAATACTTGCTTTTAATATCTGTCTGTATCTCTGAGATGAGGTATTATGATTTCTTGCATTGTTTACATTCTTCAAAAGGTTATCCTCATCTTCATTGCCATATTCTCAACGTTTCGGCCGTTTTACGCTCCGGACTTCTCCATGTGATTGGAATTTCGAGCTGAACCCTTTATTTCGTCCACCGGGGTAGATTTTTCTAGTTCCACATGCCATACCTCTTCTGGATATCTGAGTTATTTCCCTTTAACTCAACTGAGTACAGGTTTTGTTTCACGACTAGCATTAGAGATAATAATGAATAGTTACAGCCTTCTTATTTATGCAGTGTCTCTTCAGAACGTAGGCGATAATGGCTCTCCACAATTTCCTACATTTGAAGTAGGTTATTCACCGTCTCCCTCCGTTCCTCGAGCATTCAATATATCCCTCAGAGCATCAAATTTTTTAAGCCTTCTTTCCTATTTATGTGTCCAATAAATGCAATCTTTCTCTTTCTGGCCTGAGGCGAAATAAGGCAGTTTGTTTTTCCACTTGTTTTAGAAAATCAGCATTGCGCTCGACGTGAAATCTGGGGTCATATATGATAAGTAATAACACTACAAATTAGATTCAGAAGTTTTATCAGATTTTAAGCATTTAGTGTTAAATATCATCTGAAAACACGTAAAAAGATATATAATTTCCGCATGTTTTTGTTTACAAACTGATTCGAAATTTTACTGTTTCAAAGAAAGTTGATATGTTTTGTATTAGATACATTGAATGGAAAATATATTCAAACTAGAATTAAGATGTGAATCACCACAAATCACTGCAATTTTTACTGTATTCGATAAGTAAAAACTTGTGTAAAAGATTTGTTAGATCATTAGTTAGATCATAATAAAAACAAAACAAAATTAGATAAAAGTGTATATTTCACACCATAATACTACTGTTTCATATACTTTGGCTTTTGGAAGACAAATCTCGCTATTTCAATGCACCTTCGGATTTTGGTGTCACTTATTCCGTTCTCTGTTAAAATATTTCCTCAGATATTTATATTTATGTGCTTATTTGGTTTTGGTATCATCAGTGCGTAGTTCGAATCCAAATGCTGACATCCACTTATTCGATCTTCTTACAATTCATAATTAGTTCTTTCTTCTGACTTTATTTTACTCCACTCTTTCGGACTTCGAGCAGTATTGTTTTGAAATAATTACGAGTAAACTAATATTATTAACATTAATTTTAAAAGTAATAGTTTTTTTATACTTATGATATTAAAATAATTATTAGAAATATTAGTTTCATTAGTATTAGTTCTAATAATTTTCGTATTACTATCACAAATATTACATCAAATATAAAATTAGTAATATTATTATATTTAGCCTTGTTTGTAATAATAATTATTAGTATCAGCAACATTTATAATAATTAGGAGTATTAGTAGTAGTAGTTACCCATATAATTCTGCTTCATGCCTTAGCACTTTACACCATGCCAATAGCTCATAAATAATGGATTGTTTCATTTAATTGCGAGGAAAGACGGAAAAGTAACGTCAGAGACGGTTTTTGGTTTCAGTGAAAGAAAGAATGAAATAAAGAAAGAAAGAAAGAAAGGGTTGTAACCTTAAAAAAGGTTACTGAATGAGGAATAACCAAAACGGAGGTTGAAAATGAAATGGCAATCTTTATAACGTCAACAAAATACAATGCTCGCCAGCGGCATGAAGTATGTAAACCACTGCTAGTGGTGCACTACTTAGCACATTACCCCCACTTACAATAATGTCCAACGTATTTATGAGGACTGGGACATAGTCATTAGTGTTCATAGGCACGATATATAACAGAAAGAAAGAAAAAATGAAAGAAAGAAAGAAGGAATGTAGGAAAGAAAGAAAGAAGGAAAGTAAGAAAGACAACAACACATTCATATGTTTAATATTTACTTCAGTGAAATGAAAAAAAAAAAACTTGTCAGTTTGAAATATTTGTATTTGTACTCTCCTACATATTTATAATAATGACCTGCAGTGATACATGATTGTTGCAGTCAAATTTCGTTAACATTTTTAAGCTCAGATATTAAACTAGACAATAGGATATTTTGTATTCGTGTAACTCGTAATGTCCTTATTTATTCATTAATAAATATCAGAGAGATCACGCAATTGAAATACTAAAACCGTAAAATTTTTACGAGTACTACACTCATTAATTATTATTAGAAGATATATTAATTAAAAATAGTATTCATAATAATCATTATCATCGCCTAATTCTATTTTATCATTATAACGAACAGCTGAATATTGAATACAAATGTGACAGAGGGTACCACTTATATGCTTACTTGATCTCTATGATATTGATCTCATCAAATCTAGCGTCAACATTTTTCTATCATACATATCCTCATAATATGAACTTCTTACTTTCTCCATTTACACTCTCGATTTATTAACCCCTTACCTTGAATAACTTCTAGGCTCTTTATATTATGATCAACAGAATAAGAAAATCTAGCTGAAGAGTTTGCGTAAATGGGGCGAAAGGAAAAACAGAAATATTGCTAAGAGCCACAAATGATAAGGATTTGTAGAGAGCTATGTCCCGAAAAATCTTGAAAAGATACGGCACATAAAAGGAGAAATAATTATTCGGTTGAATTATTGAAGTTATATTACAGCATCATCAAAGCATTTGTTGAAAAAGTGTTTTCTTTTCTTTTTTAAATAGCATTATCTTCTTTCAAATGAACGGTTGACTAGAATGCCCATCCATATTATATGTACTTCAGTTGTTATTAATAATTAAACATTAGTTTCCGAATTCTGTCTTTTTGGGTGTAATTTTTACCCTTTCATTTTCTTTTCTTTAGATCTAAAAGTATCTACATACTACTGGCTTACTGTTTTTCTCCTCCACTCTCTCTTTATATCTATCTATCTATCTATCTATCTATCTATCTATCTATCTATCTATCTATCTATCTATCTATCTATCTATCTATCTATCTATCTATCTATCTCATTATACAGACACACACACATTATATATATGTAATGTTACTAATCAGCAGCATTTTATGGAATCTTTTTTTTGCATTTTCTTTATGCATTTTCAATTATTTATAAAAGTGTTTATGAACGCTTTTGATACTATTTTTTTCTTGACTGAAGCATAAAGTGAAATTAAATCACCAAGGAAAAAAAAAAAAAGCGAGATTTAATGAAAATCGCATTTTTTATTTCAACAGCCATTGTCTGCTTTCCGTGAGTGCGCATGCGTTCATCAGTCCATGCCGATTTCTGGTGTACGGTCGCTTATATAGCATGGGAGAGATGGCGGAGTTGAACACGCCAGTAATATAATATTAAGTATCATTAAATTAAATTAATACGCATTAAATTACATAAGGGAACAAAAGAAATGACAGAGTCGGATATGAATATAAAATCAAAAATATGTAAGACTATTTAAATTAAATTTATTCGAAGAGATAGTTACTTCCAATCGTGACCAATCGAATAGATCATGTTTGTATCTTTAGCGTTTCAAGTTATTTCTGATGCGTTTTAGACGATAATTACTGAAAATAATGGCTGTTTGGCTGTATATCAAAGAATAATGAACTCTTTACTTTGGTTCTCACTCCCCATCGCTTCTATACCTTAAGTACTTTAGCTTAGTATGCAGTGGGAGAACAAAGGTCTCTAATTTTTATTTATTTAATTATTATTTATTTAAAGCGCAGTCTATATAACGTGCGCTCTTTTTTTCTTATGTAATTGCTATAGTTAAGTCTTCTTCTTTATAAATATCTTGCTAACGACAAGTATTTGATGAATGTGGAAGTCCGTTCTATCCATAGCTCATCTAATTTTCGTCACCATTGCTAAGTCAAGGAATAATGCTGTTGAGAATATGGAAGCAACGTTGCTAAATTATATTTTAAACCCGAGAAACGATGTAAATTCTATTTTGTTATGAAATCATAACTGTTTATTTGCAATAACAAGTCATGGTCAGCAAACATGAAGATAGACTTTATATAACGCCATCTTAATGTTTAGCATAACATCTTCATCAAGTTAACGAAAACAATAAAATTATGGTTACTCGTTGCTTCCATCTATCCCTCTTGACTTTACAAGATCTTGTGAGTATCAGATTTCTTGATTATGTATTCTAGATTAGGTATTATAGAAATTTCAAATGTATCTTTCTAAATCTAAATCTAAATGTTCATTTTGTATCAATTTAACTTAAAATACCCTTGTTGATTGCACGTCTCATGAATGGTTTTCTCAACATCCTTCTGGAGAACCTTATTTCTGTTACCGCAAGTCCTTTATTAATATATATATATATATATATATATATATATATATATATATATATATATATATATATACGTATATATATATATATATATATATATACACACACACACATATATATATATATATATATATATATATATATATATATATATATATATATATATATGTGTGTGTGTGTGTGTGTGTGTGTGTGTGTGTGTGTGTGTGTGTGTGCAGAAGCAATGAATATTCTCAATCATGGTGAAGGCAGATAAGACAGTAGAAGAGAAACTAAGTATAAAACCAAATGGGTAAAAAAGAACTCATCAGCTATTTTAATGTTCATCAATCTAAGATAAGGAAACTGATATGAAACAAATCATTCTCAGTCATTCCAGTGCCTAATAAAATGGGGTTTAAAATAAGTCTTATGTGTAAAAAAAGTTTTATTTATGGATTAGTGTGCCCTTTGAGAGATTACATTTCTAACAACATCAAGAACAATTACAACAACAACAACGACAATATTATTATTATTATTATTATTATTATTATTATTATATGAATTAGTACTAAAATGCTATTTTATTTTCATTTCCTTTAAGCTGATCTATATTCTCTCGTGATATCATCAACTAAAATGCCAATTTTCGCCACAATTTTGCTTTTTACATACATACACACGCGGGCGGATAATTCCAGAGCTGACTGGGAGTGGAAAAGAATAAGTTGACTCGCAATAATATATTAAAAGTACAGATTTCATGAAGACATAAGATTTCCATCAACTTTGCATTTAAATTTGTGAAGATTTTACGAATCAGATGAGAAAAAAAATAGAAGTGATGCAATTTAATGTCAAATAAATATTACTTGAAAATACCGCGCTATCGAATATTGCTAAATTACAATTCTGCCCGCCGTTTTTTTCCCCAAAACATCTCCTTTCCTAAATTATATACCTCTTTCCAAAACCAATATAAATGACGGTATTATTTTTTTAAATTAAAAGAAGACGGTCAGTTCAAAACCGTCTGTTATAAACAAAAAATGTATAGATACATAAATCAATTACTCACAATGAAATAAAATAATGAATAATTACATGTTACAATGAAAAATCAACAACCACAAAAAATCTTTGATACTCTTTCGTTTATTAGACATTAAAAGATATCACTTGGCACCTTTAATAGTTCATTTTGACTTTCAGTTAGCCAGATGTGTATTTAGGAGCGTTCAAAAGTTTTAAAACATTTTAAACAATAACGGGATTTTTACTTTAATTTATATTTGTCGCAAAATAAAATCCTTACATTTGCCTTGATGAAGTCCATCGGAGGACGAAATGTGCCGACTTATAAAAAAATTTCTTTTTATCTTTATTCATATTATCTTTTGACGGATGTATTTTTTGTTATATCGGAATTTTTGCACACACTAACAGACACACGCAATCACACACACACACACACACACACACAATCACACACACACACACACACACACACACACACACACACACACACATATATATATATATATATATCATAATATGTTAATTATAAGTTTGGTGTTTCGGAACTATACTGTTTCTTCAGCGGGCGATGATACATAACTTATGATGAAAATGATTTATTTGGGAAAGTGCAAAAAAACCATTACCTTATTTGAAAGTTAAAATGAAGGGGAAAAACGTTAATTTCAAAATTAAAAAAAATACTTGTGGCTATGTCAAGATTAACCAATCAAGAGGCAGACCTAAGCTAAAAGGGAACATATAGAATAAGGTCAGTGGGTGTGGTTAGGTGGGTTCTTAATCCATGTCTAATATGAATTGAAACTTTCGACACGTCCAACAGCCTACAAACTGTTGTAAGCAAAGTTTAGATAAGTGAAGTAGACAAGGTTGTATTAAGCAAAATATTATATTTAAGGAATTTCAATTTTTTATACTCCAAAACCTTTTTAAAGGAGACGCTAGTATATATATATATATATATATATATATATATATATATATATATATATATATATATTATAATGAATGGGAAATGTAACAAAGCAATATTAAAGTTTGAGAAATCAAAATTAAGTGTATATTATATGGACTATTATATATCAATAAAATAAGAGATATATAACTGTAATGCGTAAATTTTTTGAAAAATTTTTTAATTATATTTTAAAGTAAACTTTATGCAATGCCTACAAATCACTGTTAAATTCGTTTCTTTGATTTAAGAGAACTTTATCTTTAAAAGGAAACTTTACGCAGTTTTTCATGTAAACACACGGGACATGGGTCATTTAAGTATTTGCAGATTCTTGTTTTTTATATTTTCCATTTTAATGCAAGGTTTATTAATTTCTTTTAAAAGCCAGAATTATTTAGAAAGGAATGTTCAGTTACAGTACACATTGTTGTTAAAAGTAGATATATGCTAATACCACTGTGACGTCCCCCCCCAGGTGTCGCTGCGCCAAACGTGACGTCCGCCTGTCTGCGTCAGTCGTGCTGTCCTGTCTTGTAACGACCAATGTGACTTGGTATTGGTCGCGGCACCAAATGTGACGTTCTAACCTTTTGGTGATTCGGATGGGAATCTGGTTAGATTCGGTATCAGCCTCGTCGTTCCCAGCTCGCTTCCAACGTCTGGTTACCGAAGTAACTGCTTTGATTTCTAGTCTAACCTACCCACGTTGTGAATTGATCTAGGCAGACGAAATCAATCAGTCACTGGGCCGAGTCGAGTTCGAACAAGGGCGATATCGCACAAGTATATGTAAAAGAAAAGAAAATAATAACTCGAAAAGTTGAAATGTGTTAAAAAGGATAACAATATTTTATATCTGGTTGCTGAATATAGGACTACGTCTTTCTCCCAAACCGCTATATGGATTCGTGAAACTTTGTTTTTGTTAGGCGAGTCTTAACATCTTAAGTTGTTTGTTCTTTTAAGAAACTGGTTCTTGGTGTGTCTTCAGGCGATATTCGTAAAACTTTTATTGGTGATGTGAGTCTAAGTCGTTCTTCAAAAAAAAATGTTCTTGATTAGAAGATGAGTTGGAATTGCGTTAATCTTTCAAGTCACCTATCTGCGAGGTGGGGCCAACTTCAACTGCGAACTTCGAACTCCAACTGATTTTCGCTCGCTGCGACTTTGCTTATATGGACGCCGACCAAAACCGGGGTGGGCTTGTCGGGGTTTGAGGTTCCTTGATAATTCCAAACCCACAATCCACTTCTTTGTCTTCGGTAAGGAAAATTTTATTAATTTCCATTTTTGGAAGTTTCTTCGTCCCCCCACCTCCTTCTGTTCTCATATTGGTATCTCACCATACCCTCAGAAGGTGTCAACGGGTTTCCCCTCTCTCTCACAGTGGCATCTCACACCTATCCCCTCAATGGGTGCCAGCAGGCCTCCCCTCCTGCCTCACATGATCACCTCCGCCCAATACTCCTGCCACCACTCAGCCAATGGGCGCTCAGCAGCGTGTGTGTGGCTAGACTAGCCTTGGTTTAAAAAAAATCTTGCTCAAAGAAAAAAAAATTATCTTTTTTTTTCTTTTCTTTTTTTTTTACTTTTCTTTTTCATTCTTCTCTTCGAGGAATCTCACACCCTAGACTTTTTATCTTTTTACCGAATTACCTGGAATTCGTCAATGAGATTTTCGCCAATTAACAAGTGGGTGGTCAACCAGACATACTCAATCTCCTGGCGCCAACCACTGATCCGATAAAACAATTTCCCCAATTCACAGCCGAATTCATATGGAAGTCGTCAACGAAATTTTCGCCAATTATCAAATGTGTGGTCAATTAAACGTATTTTCATTCTTGGTGCCAATTTCTGATCCGATAAAATAGTTTCGCTGTCATAGCCGAATTTCAACACAAAACATATGCCTTTTTCAAACGACTTTCCCTTAGATAAGCAATGGTTTGGTCCTTTATTTTGGCAACCCTTGTGTGGTCAACGGACATTTTTGTTTCTCGGTCAGCGGATGACCTATTAAATTTTTATCTCTTTAGAATTCTGTGGGAGGTCTCAAACGGGCATTCCTGCGACACAGTTAAATGTTTATCTATTTAGAATTCTGTCTTTGAGGTTATTTGGCTAACCTGGAATTTCCACCCGCCCCGTAACCTAAATCAGATTAATTCCAGTATCTTCTTTTTTTCCTTCTCGACAATAGGAATAAAAATTTTACCACTTTTCCTTGTTAGAAAAATAACACCGCTTAGTGTCCTTTTCGTGATGGCTTCTTATCACCTAATTTCAATTCTCGCCTTTCCTTTTTCTTTTCTTTCGTTCTTCTTTTCTCCTTCTAGCAACCCTAAATGGTGTCACACCACCTTTGTTGAAAAGGGTTTTTGTACTACCAATATAAAATTTCTTAACAGGCGGGTTTTCACTAGATGAAATGGTACATTGGAAAACAAAAGATTCAGAAAGGCACCTATTTTGCAATAGACAAATGTTAGAATTTCTGCAATTACTTAAGTATTGATTTAAAATTTTATTATTACGTTTTTTATTATTTTTTCTCTAGATTATCTGTACAACTGTAATTTAATTCAAGCGTGTTAACAATTTGGCTAAATGTGGGTGTGTACAAAATGATTTTTTTATTTCTATTTTTTTCCACCTATTACAATAATGTTTTCTCTATTTAATATTAGCGGATTTATAGAAACTATTTTGTAATATTATATATATTTTCACTAATATATATATATATATATATATATATATATATATATATATATATATATGTGTGTGTGTGTGTGTGTGTGTGTGTGTGTGTGTATTTATATTAACTCTCCTCAGTATCAGAGATAATATGTGTAAATTTAAAAGCGTACATTAAGGTCAACGTCTAGTGGCGATGGTATCTTTATAGACTGAGCGCTTTCTATTGGTTACTGGATAGATAGAACGGATTTAATTCAAATTATTCTAAAAGCTATTCTGCAATTGTGGGTCAGAATAAGGTTATTTCTAGCTATTGTATTGTGCTTAGTGTTTACTTTTAAAGCTATTATTTACGGTATTTTGTATTTAATCATTATTATTATTATTATTATTATTATTATAAGACAGAAATAAATAAAGAAACAAACAAACAAGAAAACAAAGAAAATTACGAATATGGTCTTTCATACCGATGGTACCTTGGGGATAGATTTGGAAAGAAACAGACATAAAGAAATGAAAAGTGATGGAAAGAGACAAGAGGTGTTAAAAGAGTGACGACGAGAAAGAGAGAGAGGTCATGAAGAAATTGAAGGATGAGAGAAATCCAGAGAGAGAGAGAGAGAGAGAGAGATATGACAAGAGAACGGAAAAGGGAATGATAAGAGAAGAGAGAGGTAGGGAAAGAGATTTAGAAAAGAGAGAAGTAGAAGAGGAGTACATAGAGAAAAAAAGTCAGATGGGAAGAGAGAGAGGGAGACGGGGAATAGTAAGAATATTAAATATCATTGAAAAAGTTGGAGGGGCAGAAACATCAAATGGTAATGAGAAAGATAGGAAAAGAGATGGGGGATTGCTTAATAAGAAAAGAGAGTGTAAATAGAGAATGAAAGCGATAAAGAAAATGAGACGAGAGTAAGCGGAAATATATATATATATATATTTATATATATATATATATATATATATATATACACATATGTAGAGGGGAAATCGAGAGAACATAGAAGGTAAGAGAAAGTGAAATTCGAGCTTGGTCGAAATTTATAGAAAGGTACCCAGTTCAATATATTCCTTTTTAATTTCTGTTTTTCATTCAATGCCTTCTTATCAAAAATACTAGAAGCGATACTATACGATGTAAACCACTATCTGCTGACAAAATAAACAGCGTGTATTTTTTTACATTAGCAGCACCCTTCTTTTCGTTTTCAATCAAGCTTTTCCGTCTAGAATATTTATGACAATAGAGTTTAGCTTTTCCCAACGAACAAACCGAACCGTATAACTCATAAATGGCTTCATAAAAAAAAAAAGTTTTCCCCTCTTTTGCCTTTCAAAACGAACAGCTGCCAAAATTCAGAGTCAAAAAAATATCCTTACCTGTCTATGCGAAGAAAGAAAATACGTAAAAACAAATATGACAGAAAAGTGTTCTGAGCAATATAAGAAAGAGTTTCATTTTTTAGCATCTTACCAGTAAACAAACAAACAAACACAAAATAATGAAAAAATTAAATCAATTTCACATCGTTAATTTAAGGAGGAGCTTTTTTTGTTCCAATTATTTTTTCATACTTAATTTCCTTAAACTGCTTTCACTATTTTTTTTAAAGTTAAAAGAAAGGCGATTGCTAGGAGTAGGTATATTTTTACTTACCTAAAAAAAAAAAAAAAAAAACAAACAAAAAAACTTGGAGCAGAAACAAAAAAGAGGTTATTTGCGTCTTTCAATTGAATGTCAGTTAATTTTTAAAATAGTTTCATTTCATTTTCAATCTCTCTTCCTACACCTTTACATCTCTTTGCTCCCATCTATCTATCTATCTATCTATCTATCTATCTATCTATCTATCTATCTCAGTCTGTTCATATCTATTTATCTACCTCTGTCTTTTCATACTGCTCATATCTATCTACTTATCTATCTCATTCTGTTCATATCTATCTATCTATCTATCTATCTATCTATCTATCTATCTATCTATCTATCTATCTATCTATCTATCTATGTATCTATCTATCTCAGTCTGTACATATCTATCTCAGTCTGTACATATCTATCTAGCTAGTTAGCTAGCTCAGTCTGTTCATATATGTCTATCTATCTATCTATCTATCTATCTATCTATCTATCTATCTATCTATCTCAGTCTGTTCATATCTGTCTACCTACCTATCGATCTATCTCCGTCTGTTCATACCGATCTATCGATCTATCTATGTGTGTGCGTGTGTTAACAATTTAATCGATGTTTTTGGGATATTCGTATTTGCGTAGACGTTCCGTTTGCTTATCAAACAGTATATTTATTTTCGTCTACGGGGCTAAATGTTCACGAAATATTATTACCCCTCATACCCCTGGCTGCCGTTAGATCCGACACACTCTAACGAACTGAGCTACAAAGAATAAGTCGATTACGATTGTGCCTTTAAACGAAACTTATCTCGACATATATCTCACAATTTTTTTTATTTATTTTGAACCTGCGTCTCCTAGGATATGCCTTAACTTAAAGACCATAAAAATCACACTTGATCACACAAACTATTTTAATAGGGGACGCAGGATCGAATCCTGATGGAGGGCGCATATATTTCTAACAAGATTTCTCGAATATTCAGGCAGGTAGATGGAAACAAATAAATATAGTGTTTAATAAATGAATAAAAACAGTAAGGGTATTCATTAAACACACGCATACACACACGTGTGTGTGTGTGTGTGTGTGTGTGTGTGTGTGTGTGTGTGTGTGTGTGTGTGATAGAAATTATTAGAAGGATAATCATAATAATTCATCGAGTCTAGAAGAAGTCTCAAAAGAATGCTGAAAGCCCTGGAAGGCCTTTTCTTCCTATATTTGGGACTCATCAGCAGTGCTCATCCACTACCGAGTATTGAAAAACGGGCAGCTACGATACGAGGCAACTGTCATAACAACTGTACCGGTGACACACACATATATAATCCTATGAAAGAATGGCACTAATCGTAACAAGAGTTTCACTCTCACGCTCGGGTTACGATTAGAGCCATTCATTAAGTGTTTTTTACTCAGTCTAGGTTTTGGCAATTTTTCCGTTAGTTCCATCAATAGTTCTTGTTTTTTAACACACACACACACACACACACACACACACACACACACACACATATATATATATATATATATATATATATATATATATATATATGGTTAAAAAAGGAAGGCCCTGCCAATAATGGAAAGAGTTATAACTCTTACTGAACTTGAGAAAACTATTCTGCTACGTGCATTTATGGCAACTGGTGCATTCCAATCAATAAGATCGGCGTACTGAATATAATACACGCAATATTTGTGATGATAGACTCACATTATCCTACGACAATACCTTTCTTAAGCGCGTGTTTGATAAAAATGATTCAAAATTTTATTTGAATTGATACATTTTATAAGAACTAGATAATAATCCTCTTTAGGCAACTCGCCCAGGTAAACAATTCCTTAGTATAATTATTAGTTAAAGTTTGTTCTTAAATGTCCCTGTATAATGTGCGGTGTACTTGTGGAACATAGTGTAATTGTATGAAAGAGGTATAGTTGGGAACAAGGTATAGTTTGGGCGGTGCTATAGTAAGGAAGGTTTTATATGGATGGACGAATTAAAGTAACGAATAAATGACATATTGAAAAGCGAGGTATGTTTTTTACAGAAGACGGTAAGTGCGACGCTGAGATCCGAAAATATACTGGGATGGCCAAAAACGTATTCCAAAAGCTAGGCAGAGTATCCCGAGGGAGGACGACTTCTTTGGTAATAAAGAAAAGAGTACTGAGGTGCTAAGTGACATCTGTCCTTCTTTACAGCAGCGAATGTTGGACAGTCTCCTCAAAGATGAAGAAGAGACTCGAGGCAACGGAGGTACGGTTCTACAGAAGAATACTGAGGATATCATGGAACGACCGTGTGAGCAACGATGAAGTTTTGGAGAGGATGCAGACAAGTAGGAAGCTTATACTTAACACCAGGAAGAGGCAAATGAAATTACTAGGACACGTAATAAGAAAAGAGGGCTTGGAGAATCTAATACTCACAGGTCGAATAGAGGGAAAGAGAGACAAGGGAAAGCAACGCATATCATACATAGCGGGTTTATGCAAGTGGATGATAGAACAAGGCCTGGTGGAATTAGCAAAGGGACAAAACTTATTGAGAGCTACAATGGATAAGGAGAAGTGGAGAGCCATGATCGCCTACGTCCTGAAGGGACACGGTACATAAAAAGAAAGGATAGTGTGCAGCAAAAGGTATAACTTGGGTAAAAAATATTCATTCCAAGCAAGGCGATAATGCCACTTCGATGTAAGGGGTTACTTGGAGTGAAAGAACGTGCGAAAACTTTAGTGAGGATAAAGACAAGTAAAGCACAGGATACAGAAATATATAAAATGTCGATAGGCGTTGCATTTAAACTACTGAAGATTTTAAGTGGCGGGAAAGCAAGGAATCAGTAACGGCAAAAAAATATACTAATATAATGGAACTTAAGGCTGTATCTAGTTAGTTCAATAGCAAAACTGTGAGACCTAGCTGCCAATCTAGTAGAAGTTTCGAAAGTACTTAAACAAGGACAGAAGAAAGCGCGATCTTTTGGGAAGATTATCCACAAATCAGAATCATTTGTTAAATGTCTTATTCGAAAATTGGAAACTTCCAATAAAAATTTAAACATGATTGAATATAACAGAACTTTCTTCAATGGATTCTTGCCAGACAAATATATATTATACACTGATATATATTTTGGAGGCATATCGATTTTCTTGCGTATATAAGAGTTTTCAATTTTAAATACAACGCAAAAAGGCCACATTTTTCATTTAGTTAGCCATTTAGTCTGTTCCCTACATAGAATTCTTTGAAAATGGATACTTGTTTAACTTGAACTTTCCTGTGACATATTGCTCATTGACGTTTTTGAAAATCATGCAGCAAAAATGTTGATACAAATATTAAAAAAAATTCTGGATAAAATATCTAGAAAATATTTTATAAATCACACAATAATTTGTGTGTAAATATTTCAATCAAAATTGCATTAAAGTTAGTTACAATTGCATGGATAATAATGAACAAATAATTAAAAATATATAACGACAAAATACAAAATGACAAAAATATAAATGAAAATAAAACAAAAAAAGTAGTTGTAGAAGTATAAAACCCAAAAAAGAAAGAAAAATATCAAAAGCAGCTCAAAGAACAAGAAGATATACAACTGGGCAACTGTGAATGAATTTAAATTTATTCGATTGATTCATATTTTACGACTTATCAACGCTTGACAGGTTATTTAAAGGTTATTTAAAGCCAGAAACTAAAAATGTTTTTTAATATAATAATGATTTCATGATACATGTCTTATTATCGGGCGATAGAAGTTGTTGATTCATACATTCCCCAAGAGTATTTACGATTAATTGAAAATAAAGAACCCAACCAGAATTGAAACTCGGCTCTACGATTAAAATTTCCAGACCATTATCCATTGTACTACTGGCACTTGGTATACCCAAGTGGTCACACATCGAGACACAGACAGGGCTCACCGTTGCTTAACTTCGCTGATCGTATGGCAACTAGTGTTTCAATATC